AAGCAGTGGTATCAACGCAGAGTACTGGATTTTCCCTATCGGGTGAAAGGGGTCGCAGTCTATTTTCCGCAATTAAGCCAATTTTTAACTTTAAGAAATCATAACAACTTTATATGAGAAGCTAGGAGAGTGATTAGGTGTTTATTGAATTCCTCTCGTCGTCCGCTTTCAGAAAATGTATAGGTTGTAGGGAGAGGGATGCTAAAAGTACGTGGTGAAAGGGGGAGGGAACATGGTATAATGGAAATCTTCCTTTCTGTACTCAAAAAGCGTCGTTTTAAGGAGCTAAAGGAACATGCCCATTATACCATGTTCCCTCCCCTTTCACCACGTACTTTTAGCATCCCTCTCCCTACAACCTATACATTTTCTGAAAGCGGACGACGAGAAGAATTCAATAAACACCTAATCACTCTCCTAGCTTCTCATATAAAATTGTTGTGATTTTTTAAATTTAAAAATTGGCTTAATTGCGGAAAATAGACTGCGACCCCTTTCACCCGATAGGAAAATCCTCTTTTTTCCTGGCAAACTATATATTTCCTGAAAGCGGACGACGAGGGGATTCCAATAGAGTGCAAAGCACTCTTCTAGCTTTTCGTATAGTAAAGTTATGAATTTTTATAAAAAAAATTTCCTCAATTTTAGAAAAACAATTGCGACCACCTTCACAATACAGGAAAATCCTTTCTTTCTTGGTAAGCTATATATTTTTTGGAAGCTTTCAACAAGAGTAATTCAATGTATAGCTAGAGACTCTCTTATCTTCTCATATCAAAAATCTACAATTTTTTATAGAAAAATTCTGCAATTTTGAAAAAATGAATAAAACTATTTCTATTTAGCAGGAAAAACCTTTCTTTTTCCTGGCAAGCTGTATGTTTTCTAAAAGTAGATGGAATGTAGACTTCTAATAGAGTAAGCTAATTATGACTGAGTTCTCCTTCTAAGATCTTTTATATTTCCCTCTTCTTCGATGGAAAACAAAAAATTTTTCAGAATAATCACGCAACGATCATATACGATTGTCCTTCTCCTCTTGTATAGTGCTCCAACGTAGAAAAATGCATCTCTGGCTGTCCTTGTCCTTATCATCGTCCAAGTAGGCGGATTATAGAACTCCACGATCCTCGTAGCTATAGCATTTTGACAGTAAGACTAACCCTGATTACATCAACTCTTCGATGTAATAGATGCCCTTGGTTGCACCTGCTTCTCTATGCAAATGTTACGATCTCTTTCGGAGTTTAGAAATAATATTAAAAGTTGGAACAATGACTCTTCAAGGAATCATTCAATGACTTTCCACGGATTCCGCCATCTTCTCAGAGAATTTATACCTCTTAAAAAGAATGCAATTCAACTGCGCACCGATCATCAAAGTTCATTAATTATTTCACTTATTATTTCAGCAAATACGTGAGTAATAACTTTATTGACGTATATACACAAAGGCTTCACACGTAAATTTTTCTCCAGGCTTTTTCATCGTTCTCTAGAAGTGAACAATAGACAAATTTCCGATGTACTTCTCATGAGCCTACAAGTAAGTTTTGACAATCAAAATAATCAGAATCAACATGTCACTAAATTTGATTTTAATAATGCCGATAGTTTTATAATTTTGCTTAAAATGTTGATTTCTTAGTCTCACTTTTTCCAGTTCCTCATCGCCGTGGGTGAAGGGGGGTCAGCTTGGTTCCGGCCCTGGGGTGAAGGGGGTAGGAACACATTATCGCCTTTTCACATGTATGGAACTTCCCTTGTCAGTGGACGAATTTGAATTTGAGCAGGAGCAACGGCTAGCGTCAGAGCGCGGCAGACGCCGCCCCGGTCAAAGTGTGCGCATATGCTGTTTTTTCATTTCTCTTCATCTTTCTTTGTTGTTACTCTTATTGCGGCAATGTATCATATCAGATCGAGATTCTGTAACCGGTGATCGTTGTTTCATGCTGTTATCATGGTTTGCCCTATGTTTTTTTTCGAGGTACAGCTGGAAATACGACGCAGTGAAGACGGGGCTAGGAATACTTTTCTCACAGAGAAAAGAAGCGCTAAACAAACAACCAAGTGCTTACGTGCAATTAAAAATATACGTATGGCACGGATATCGTCGGATGCACCATCCTAGAACTCACCTATACTTTTTGAAAAGATTCAGGTCTGAAAAAAAAAAGTTTGGAGAGCATATTCAGCTGAGACATTGATTCACATTTCACGAAAGCAACGCTTGTGCATGTGTTTTTTCACCGGAAAAGAGCGATAAGCGACATTCCATCGAAAAATCTTCAATTGCGTCGTATTCCCAGCTTTACCTGAAAAAAATATAAGGCAAACGATAATAACAGCATGAAGCAACGATCACCGATAACAAAATCTCGATCTGATATGATACAATGCCGCAATAAGAGTAACAACAAAGAAACACGAAGAGAAATGAAAAAATAGCATATGCGCACACTTTGACTGGGGCGGGGTCTGCCGCGCTCTGACGCTAGCCGTTTGCTCCTGCTCAAATTCAAATTCGTCCACTGAGTGTCTAGTGGGGGGAGGACGACTATACAATGCGTTTGACGGGGCCAGCGCCGCGTAGTGCAGTCACACATCTAAGCGTGAGCGCTACCGTACGTGCATCGTGCAGACCATGCTGCGCACAGTATCGCGTACCTTGTTTTTATTATTGCATCTTGTAATTTTTCGTTTTTGTAGCGACGGATTGTCATTTTTCTTTGCTTCTATGCTCATATGCGATCTGCCTTGATACCGGATACGATTTTTTTCGCAGCAAAGGAAGGATGTATCAAATCTTTGAGCGTTTTTCCTCACGACATCTTTCATTTCATCCAGGCTTCGGATGGCTGATTCTGGATGTCGTGATTCATCATATCGACTGGCGTTTCAACTGACATAATCGTATATCGTTTAGGTTTGTGTGAACAGCGTCAAGGTGCCGTTCATTCAAACTGTTCTCTCAACCTACACGATATACGATTACATCTCACGATATTCACCTTTAGCTGCAAAGAGGAAAGCACCAGTCGTTCTCAGAATTTTCAAATGAAATGATTAGATTACTTCTTCTTTGAAAAACCTCAAAACTCTATTTCATCTCTATTTGCGCGGTGATACTTTGAGAAATCTCAGAAAATACTGAAGTAGAGAAGTAGAGTTTCAGAAAGGAGAAGCTCAGAAATTTGAAAGCACGATAGAGAATAAGCTAAGAAAGAAGCAGAAAGAGTAGCTAAAACAAGGACTATGCCGCTTTGCGCTGCATGGTCCTTGCACGCTGCGACGGTAGCGCTCGCGCGCAGATGTGTGCCTGCACTACGCGGCGCTGGCCTCGTTGAGCGCATTGTACAACCGCCCTCACTCCTCCCCCCCCCCCCCTTCCTCCTCTCCCCAGTGGTTGGAATATACGTCAAAAACATGCACCAAAACGGAGAGCGACATGACAAGGGCAAGATTGTTTTACTTCACTGTATTGATAAATATTAATATATTGATGAAAGGACTATTAAATGAGAAATCAAGCTACGGCAGACACTCAACAATAGAGGTTTGAGGTCGAAGGTCACCTATCAAGCTTTCATCCGATGAAAAATTTTCCAGTTCTCAAAGCATAAATTTGAGCACTCGTGCCAACGCTTCAAAGGCAGCAAATAGGCGCGTTGCGGTGAGTAATACGAGTGCGAGGTCTGAATGCTTTGAGAGCGCACCAAGGACGACTAAGAAGCGCGAGAGGCATGCGAGGCTTCAGTACCTACGGGAAAAACGCTGGAACGCATGGCATACCTTCCTTTATCTGTGACAAAGACAACTCACATTATGAATCTACATTCACAAGAGAAGTATCTTAGTTGAACAATGAAGGAAACAATTAGACGAGATTTTAGAGGAACAGTAAACGCGTAAGATTATATCACTTCTTCCTAAACAGAAACAGAATAGCACCTCCACCAGTGGATTTATAGAGATGAAGTGCAGATATTATATTCAATAATAGCAACAATATATATCGTAGTATTTCAGCTAAGCGAAACTCTAAACTATAGTCATTTGTAGCAACACTTACTTCACTCATTTGAACAATATTCGCTTTTCTTACATGCAGATAATAACTGAGATTAATTTGTTACGATGCCAATTACATGTTGCGATAAGTAGTGAATAAACTACCGCAGTTCGTTAAGTAACACATTTATCTAGGCGTTGACACGACGGGCCTCCAGTCTTGTGTTCCAAAAAGCCAGTCTTTTTGTCATTGCCTCAAAGTCGATAGGGTAAGCAGAATATGCGCCGTACTCCTTGGCTAGTATCGGGTTATGACGATCACTGAAATGATAAATGAAATGTAGCTAATGACATGTGACTAGAGTGATTCTCGAAGGTAACAAATCACTGCACTTCTCTAGCGAAAAATGAAAAAAGAGATCCGAAGGATTAGCGACGGAAAATGTAGAGAACGTGTGCAAGTGTTTTGCATACTTCCAGCCACAAGCGCAGAAATCTGAGAGCGCACTTGTTTGACAGAAGTACGTCAGTAGACGCATAAATTTACAATCAATCCATAATGTTTACATAGATGATTATTCATTCCAACCCTTCACTTTTTGACTTAAGATCCTCGCGATTGTCACTATCAGTAGGCAAATCATAACCAGGCCCAGCACAGATGAAACGGTGTTATACTGGGCTTCATTTTCGAAGCAAAAATATCGCAAAAATTGCATATAATGCAATTTTTGCGATATTTTTGCACATAAAGATCTCTCAAACGTTCTCACATGCTCCAGTAACAATTTATTATTGGCATATTCTGCATGCTCTTTAACCAAAGCTTGAACTCAAATATAGTGCTATAAACAAGGCAGACCAGGATATGATACGTTTTGATCGTTATGTTACGTTTTCAACGTTTGTACTATAGCAAATTGTACTAAGGCAAACGTTTAGTTTTCACTTTTTCTCGGATTAGTATTTCTCGCCCGTATGCACGTACATCTCCGCTGAGGAGGAGAGGCAAGCTCCCCAGGGAAACGATTTCCTCCACTACCGCGCTATGACAGAGGCTAGGGGAGCGATCCCCTCCTCTGCACTCACAGCCCACACCTTCAATGAAAACGTGCCAAAGTTTCACTGGTTATCTAACCAAACAGTGCTAAGCATGTTTTTGAGAAGAACAGGTAACGTATTGGAGCCATGAAATTTGCAAATAAAAACAAGTCGAAAGCTGGAGTTCAGTGAAATAATCGATTTCTCAAAAACTCATTTGCTCTTATCAGCGACATGCTTAGCACACTGTTGGGTTAGTTAATTGGTACAACTCTGGAAAATTTTCGTTGACTTTGAGAAAAGAAAAAAGATTTCAAAGAAAAGAAGGCCGGGCGCGGGGGTTCATCAGGAGATCATGCAAAAAGTTGGAAAGTGCGGCTTGTGCAGCTTCTCGCTCCTGTTCAAAATGTTCATAGTGAAGATTAGTAGGAATACTTACGGTTGGGCAACGTAAAATTCAGTCTGCAGTCCCAGAAAATAAAGCTTTCTTTTAAGCTGCGATCGCCTCCCTGGCGAAGATTCAAAGCATGCGGCCCTAAAACGCGCATCCCCTCATGGCGGGATGTACGTGCATAAGGGCCTTAGAAATGCCATTATAGTATAGTACCGTTCCTGAGAAGTTCACATGATTTTTGCAATTTTGTAATGGATTTGTTGCGCAAGAGAACACAGGTTGAGGTTGCAGTGATTAAAGCGATGTTGAAGATAAGCTGAGCAAAAACTTTTTGATAGATAGCCTTTGATTCAACTGGCTTGGCGGCTGGTAGACGAGGCTTCGTGACCTAATTAAGGCTAGGCAATGATCAGAGAGCCGCGAGCGAGAGACGCATAGTGCTTAGCGGGCGCGAGCGGCCTCAATTAGGTCACAGAGCCTCGCCTTCCAGCAGCCAAGCCAGTTGAATGGTTACTTCACCGTAGTTCTAAGGGATGATAACTGACGAAGGCAGTCAGTTCGGTTCCGATGCGGATGCGAATATTCATATTAGAGCAGATATGCCTACGCAAGTCTCGTTTTTGGGGGCCGCCTTATTTTGGGACTACTTTATGTTTGCTCAAAGGCGCCGTCCACCCAGATCCTCGACTTCCATATTTTGATCGTTCTGGGGCCTTCTAATGTCCGTGACTTCGAATATGAAGTCGAGAATCCGCGAAAACCCCGACAATAACTGTTTCGGAGAACCCACAGGCCGCCTTTCCGGAAAGCTGATTGGATGGGCGCGCACGGATGGGCGGGCATAGATGGGAGGGCGGTGCCGTCTGGGGGACCTCGTGCATCTTCGTTATTCCGGAGCGATTTCCTCGCTTCCGAAGCGATTTGCGCCGCGACTTGGACATGCTGATAGGGGGCCTTGCTTTCATATGCTTCCAAGAGCTCAAGACCCTCAACTCAAAGTGGACGGTGCCTTTAACACAGTTCAGCGCTGTTTTCGTTTCTGATAGATATTTCCCTTTACGTACACTTCTTACTTCCACTTTCGAAAATTTTACAAAAGGGAGAATCAGTCAAGTTTGGAAGTTAAAGTTTTTTACGTCGAAAACTGTTGCTATACTCACGTATATGCTTTCCAGATATCTTTGCCGCGTTTCGCCCACTCATCGGCCTGATAGACAGGCTCTGGGAGCGACACCGGAGAATCGCAGATCTGGAATTTTCGTGAATGTTTGCAACAACTGAAAACAACTTTGCAATCAGAATCAGTTCAAATTACGACAAAAAATCATACTTGATGATGAAAAGTCAATGCAAGCAAAAGTGACTGCAGCTCATCCGAGCCCATGTCGTTCTCATCAACGAGTACTTGATAAGAGGTTGGTTTTGCAGTCCCCTTGAAGAGTTTTTTTTTCAAATCTACAAGTTAATTTACAAAAAACAATAGGAGATGTACCTTTAGTGGTTGACTTGATTGCATATAAAATTCCGTGATATCATTACGAACCACTTCTGTGTCTACCACTGTGCCTGGTTTCGGATTTTCCGCACCTGTCAATGTAATTTTTCGAATTCACTTTAGCAGCATTTTTCTACGCACCATGACCACTCTGCACAAAAAAGCGTGCATGATGACGTTTTGTCGCGATAATGACTGTGAACAGTGGCATCCACGAATTGTCGCCATGTAGCAAGCCGAACTCTTCACAGGCTTCTTTGATAGCACTCAGTTCTTCTTCAACAACCTGAATGATGTAAACCATTTCAATTTCAAGAAAAACTTGTCAGTCTTGTTACCATTCGGTACTGTCCCTCAGATACACCATCTCTGGTGATCACAATTTTGCTTGGCCACCTCCCTCGATGCTGGCAATACAAACTCAGCATCCACTTCATTCGGGCATTCAGCACAGTGCTTTCCACCTAAACTGTGATTATCACTTCCAGAAAATTCCTTCCGTCATAAATTTGAATTTAAGACTTACCCTTTCCTTCCTAGGAGTTTGGAAGTGATAATCTCCGATGAAACATTCTGGATCTGTAGCGCCATTAAAGGAAAACTAAAAAAATTTTTGATTGAAGGAAAGGAACAAAATAATGAGTTCCTACCCCGACTACGCTTGGTTTTTGAGGGGGACTACGGCTCAATATCTCTTCTTTAGACTGCTTTACTGGATGAGATACATCGTATCCAAGAACTAGTGTATCTCCACTAGCGATCCAGCGGTTCCGCCTATTAATACAACATTTACAAATAATTTTTTCCAAAAACTCACAACTTACGCGAATGACTCCGGTACGATGGCATAGTTAAATCCTCCCAGTTTGAGATTCATTTTCGAGATAAAATACAGACACGACTGCGACTGCCTGCTTTGTAATTAAAGATTTACTCTAACTTTCTGGGTATTTTGCCTTTAATACCTTGGCAATCTTTCTACTAGTTCAGAAGTAATTTGTTGAGTGGCAATCAAGTACTTTCTCTCCATCAACTTCAGAAAACCTGTGACAAAACCTCACTTATGGCAATCAAAATCCAGAGCCTAATTATTTAACTGCCGATTCCCTCTGTTGCACTATATGCGAAACAAATTTTATCTCCCTGATTTCATGCGTACAAAGCGAGGTTTTTCTCCAAAAACGACCACCACAAAACGCCAAAGGAATTTTTGATCAAAGGAGGTTTAGCGTGGTAAATTTATTGATAGCATGCTCTTTCAAAAACCAAACATAGGAGAGCTGCTGTGTAGAATTGCGAAGGGATGTTTCAGCCTGGATATTCCAGCTAATGTGAAATAGGAATAAGCAGTACCATGCGATTTGTTTTCCAGTTGATCAATTAACACAAATAACAGCGACTCTTCTGACGATCTGTTCCTCTTGAATATCTGGAAAAGTTTCAGAGAAGCATGCCTTTGCAAACTGTTCCATACCTAGGTTTAATTTGAAGATCAGGGTCGGTATGCATCAATCTCCCGTTTTGATGGCGGGCGATCATTAGTAGAAAATGATCGCCCGGCCGGGTTGGGCGCCCGACCCGTGGTGTATGATTTCTATTGGAAATGATCGCCCGCTTGCAAAACGGGAGATTGATGCATACCGCCCCAGCACAACAGCCTATCGTCTTTCGAAAACTGACCTCCTCCAAACTTTGTTCCTTCTCTTGGCTACTGCTGTAACTCAGCAGTTCCGCTTCAAAGCGCTGGCAAATTATTCCACGTTGTTCGAACGATGTACTCAATACGTCTCTAACGATTCTGAAACAAAATAAGTAAAGTCTCCTCCTTTCCATGAACATTTCTCCAATCAACCTACCGTGGCAATCTTCTTGTGGGATCACTGTGAACAATGATAATACAATCGACACTGCCACCACGTATAAATTTTTGGCTTTGTAAACGCCAGTTATGCTGGTTAAATCAAAACGCTGAGACAAGGTATGGAAAGCCTTCAGACACTTACCTTAGTCAGATTTATAGCGCAGTCTCTACGATTGGCGAAAAAAAGAGAAGGTGGTTGTCTTCTGATTCCCAACAACTCCTTCGGCTTGCTAGCCACACTAATACCAAATCTAAACGGGAAATTCGCTCAGCATTTTCAAGAAGATTTCTATCAAAGATACCCACGCAAGAAGAAATCTGTTCTTGGATCCACTATCGTGAAGATTCAATGCTCTCAATAAGGAATTGATCTGGTGCCATCGATCATCAGGTTTCTCAGGTCGAGGAAGCCAAAACAAACCATTAAAAATCAATGGAAGCACCTTATAATCTCAGAACTCGCCGTTTTCTGTAGAAGAAGTTTCTCCCGTCCCACTCGCTGATGTTCACTAATCTGTAACAGCTCCATCGGGAAATAATGATCTTGATCGCGAAGGTGAAAAACAACAGCAGGCCAGTCTGGATTTATAGACACATTCGTGTGGACAAATTTGTACATAAGAGGGACGAGAGTCTTTTCGCTAAACATCGAACGTAGACGAGATCAACAAGAAAATGTAGATGATGTACGAACTCTTCCGACAACGTTTCCTTGAGGTGTCTGATAGGTTCTTTACTAATGCCACTTGCAACAAAACTGATATCTTTTCCGTAGCCGAAGTAGTTCATCCGAACCCCTGAAAAAAATTTTTTTTTCTACGCAGCTTCACAGTAAAAGTAGTACCTTTTAGATAAAAGTCGAGTTCAGACCACTTTGCATTCATACGACCATTCGTATCTCGAGAAAAATCGAATATCTCAACATCTCGTAAAAACTCTATTTCACGGACACTTGCCCTAACATTTTGGGCTTTGTAGAAAACACCAACACGATCTGAATATCGTTACGATTGACTCTACAGCAGGGCTCAGCACGAGCTGGCACCAGGGAAACTTCAAAACGAAGTCCCGTTTGATCTTGAAAATTTCATACGAAGTCTCCTTTGGCCTATTTTAGAGACTCGTCATTATTTTCAGATTATGTGAAAGTAAGTATCAAGGCTTTCATGCATGCTGATCTCATGGAACAACTTTTTCACAGCTTTCTGAGCTTTTTAAATGATAGAATCCATCTTGAGAATCAGAAAAAGCCGATTTTTCGACTGTGGAGCAGACCGAGTAATTTTCAAATGGCTTTAAAACGCTGAAGAGAAAACATTATGAAATTGTTTCTTCTCTGTATGTAAACTTTTACAGTGTAGGTACATTTTATGTAAAAAAATTATGAAAACTTATGTGAGCAAAGTGTCGGTGCCAGCTATAAAAAAATTATGAAAACTTATGTGAGCAAAGTGTCGGTGCCAGCTAGCTGGCATCCAGCTGGCACAGTGCCAGCCAATTCAGAAAAAAGTTCAGCACAGCTTTCATTCACATAAGTTTTCATAAATTTTTGGGCCATAGTAGTTCGGGTCTCCCAACACGCATGTACACACCAAATTTGGTGTCATACTATTGCGTTTTGGCTGAAAACAACGCCTTTGTTTGTCTGATGGACAACATGTCGGTGGCATGCCGGCGGCATTCTTGCGGCTCTTCTCCGCTCCGGACCCCCGGAAAAACGATATTCCCTTTGCTTTCCGCCCTAAAAACGATATCCAGCTTGACCCGGTGCCAGCTGTGCCGAGCCCTGCTCTACAGCATACATCTTGCATGTTTGCATCCAAGCTAAACGACTATTCTACATTATGTGGGCGGGACAAAGCGGCAGCGGAAGGTAGTGCTCGCATCCTTTCTCCCCTCAGAAATGGATCTTGAGGTTTATGTAGTATGTGTTGCAGAGTCGAGAGTAATTTGTTTTGTTATAAATGATCAAAACATTTTTAAATTTAACCCGTAGAAATGAATTAACACGGGAAAAAGCTTGTGATACACTTTAGGATAACCTTTTTGCGCGGTGCTCTCCATGAGATCTAGCCGTAAAAAAGACAGATAAAATGCTGCTGAAGGTCTAACTCTCGCATGCGCAGATGCCCACCATCACGGGCATCAAGATGTATAGGAAATGTAAGGAGCGCGCTTCAGCTGGAACGTAATCTTAAGTCCTTTGCTGTGAAAAGGAGCTTCCATCCTCTCCACTGACCTGCTCTTACCGCGTCCTCATGTGTCTCGCCCAAAATCGAGCAAGAGATATGGCGTACGATAGTCGGATAGCCTCCTCCCTTCTCTTCCCTCCTAACTTGCTCAGTACACGCTCATGCAAGGAGAAAATGCGTAATTGCGCAAATATACAAAGGTACCACCAAAACCAGATCGACTGATTTTATATCTTCATTCATCTGCTGCAATTCTCCTAGAGAAGTTTTGAGCGCTTTCAAGTATGAACTTGCTGGAGTCCTTGAGTTTTCAAGCTTTTAAGTCTGAAACCCAGGTCTTGTACTCAAAATGGGAGCGCGTAGATGATATTGTTTAATATAGTGATTACAGTGAGCAAACGCATCTAGCGGAAAAGTGTACAATCAGTTTCAAGCTGTTCGTTCTCAGTATTGGGACAGAAGATGGTATAAAAAATAGGACAGAGACAGAGAAAGACGTATTAATATAATACTGCTGAATTTCCAAACAAGGCCGGGCAGTGCTTATGCCCCGCAAAAGTTCTCGTGTTGTAAATTCAATAGGTAGTGCCACAAGCCCATAAGGTGTGGGGACAGTTATTTGAAGACCACAGTTTTTTGCAAGCCTTTAAATATGTATCATGCTCATTCCTTACTGCGTCTGTTCATTCAAGCCCAGCATAAACATTGTTACTCCCATGTTAAAAAAACGCTTCTACTTTTTTCGTTGGAACCTTTTAATTCTTTCATCTAAAACACAGATCCCCCCTCCACCCGCGATCTTTCAACTTGAGATCCGGGTTATAGCTGCCGTTTGAGTCTATACAAGGTCTGACTTCGACTCACATTTTGTTTAAGGGAGGTCTCCATCTGCTTCTAGTGTGGTGGAGGTTCGGCTTTCCTTGCTTTTAGTATGGTGAAGGTTCTGCTTTTAGTTCTTGCGGATTTGCCTTGACTTTGTCCATCGCATCACCACCCTAACGTAGCATCCACGCTTGTGGTGAGTTTGTGCTCCCGCTTCCCGCCTAGAGCCACAACTGATTTTTCACACGGCGCTGTTAGCGGGCGGGGAGGGGGGAGCAGGAAGGGGGCAATACCAAAGCAGGCAGATCTGCAAGAACCAAGAGCAAGCGAGAAAAACATCTCTCTCGCTGACTTCTAAATTTTTCTTTTGGCATCGAGCCGCGTATTGCTTCTACTCCACCCTCCCCCCCCCCTAATTTGCCGGTGTGCCAGTTTAACAGTGAAGAGTTTTTGAGAGGCACAAATTGGAGACGATCGCCTTTTGCAGCACACCCGTGCTGGACAGATTTGCATTGCATATGATATCTGCGCAATTTTGCTTAGTGTTCAGGAAGTTAGGTCAAAACTTTCTTGACGCTAAGGAAAAGCTAAAAAACGCTCGCAGCCATAAAAGGTACAGATATTGATCTACAAGTGTATAGAATAGACTAGGAAAGGTTCTTACAGTCTAAAACCAATGCAGCAACGACATCGGTGACGTCCGGTCTGCTTCCTTCGATGAACCTAAACAATTATTTGTGGAATCTTGGACTAAACGAGTAAGTTCATCGGAACAAATGATTTTGACGCCAATGCGCATTTCAGGTTCTACATATATTCTGCATACAGCCGTTTCCTTTGGAGGCAGCCTTTGTCATTTTCGCCCCTCGTCACCCTGATTTCATATACGAAGTTCAAAGCGCACAAACACCCTAAAAAACCCTGACTTTTCTGGCAAGCGAGGACGAGTACACCGAAGCAGGCCCCATCATTCGTAAGCAGGACGCGTTACGTGGCAAGCACACGGCGCAATACACAGTATGCGTATCGATCGAGCTTCGCCACATCAAAATGATCAAAAAAAATATGGGCTGTGCGACCACAGCCAATTACACTCCTTCAGAGCGGATTGTTCGCGAAATTTCATTGTTTTATGTCACCCCCGATCTCTTCCGTAAGCTGCCTCAATCTTTCCATGATACTCGATGGAAACGTAAAGTTGTACTGAGTATGTAGTATGGCACTGCAGGTGAAAAAAAAACATCATTTGCAGGTCGTTAGCGCTTCAAACAACAAATAACAAATTCCCCCCTCTCCCCTCTCCCTCTCCTCGTCACCGCCAACCACATCAGTCCGTTCTTCGCTTCTTTTCGGTGATAAAAATTGGTTAAAAGAAAGTAAAAGTTCCTTGGGTTCTCCTTCCCCATCTTTAAACATGAAAGTATGGTTTACATAAATCACCCATATCCCTGCGGAACGAAAAATTACCCAAAGACCCTATAGACCCTTCAGATAAGTCTGCTATAGGTAAGTCCTTTTAATTATAGCTACCTTAAAATCTTGACAGATAAGTCCAAAGATTGTCAGATAAGTCAGGACTCATCTGCAGAAGACCTATCTGATGGGAGGCATTTGTGAGATTTCAGGGTACATGTATAAGTAACGTGAAATCATTAGCGTTTTGGATATCTCGATGGTAGTCCGATGATTTTACAAAACGAAAGCGCTACGCCGGCGCCATCTTTTTCACTTCTCAGGCATATGCCTCTTGAAAAACATCTCATAGCTGTCGCAATTCTTCAACCTGTGAGGGTACATAACTCACTTTATCCCTTTATGGGCACCACGAAATGTCTCATAACCGTAGCCAATCTGCTCTAATGGTGACTGACAGTAAAATAACGACCTTGTTCCAAAAAGCGTGAATTTCCCACTGAAATTGCACGATCGGTAAAGAGCAAAAGAGGAACACAGCAGTACCTTAGTATAGCGTCCTGACTAGTTACAAGCTCGTAGAACTGCTTCCAGGAGCGATCAATAGTCGCCCAGTCACGATTGCTCTGGAAAATTGCTTCTGCAAGTGACCACTATTTTTGGCTTACTTGTGCTGATAGATCTGCCATGTCGAAAGAAGAAGCTGCATCACGACAGGGGACGATTTCTATAGTTATCGCATTTAGATTTCGCTTCACTTCCTCTTTGAAGAAGTCGTAAAATTTGTAGTTGAGTTCTTCAACTTTGACGCTGAGTATTCCGTTAGTCTGAAAAGTCAGAGGATCAAAATAGTGTTTTGCGACTAGTCTTTTCTGCATTTATACAACTCCTCAAATCGGAGCCAGGCTTAGTCTTTGATTTGGAGTGCGCTCGCTTCTTCAGAGATTCGCACCATACCTGCGCACACAGCACTAACATCTAATCAACTATATTAGAAATTGAAGAGCAGAATGAGTGCTATGCGAATGTCGCAAAATGAACACGCCCATTGCGCTTGCCTATTCAGGGTTGAATGACACTGTTGACGATACTGCACACAACATTCTTGCCTCGCTGATTGCTGCCAACGTACCGAGCTACACCGAGCTACGGAAAAAGTCATGGCTTACTATTGAATACTTGCATAGATCGTCTTCACCGACAAATAAGGAGCAGCGAATAAGCAGCATACGACTGCTCGCAACTGGAAGAACATTAAAAAGCGAGTATAGTATCATTTGATAAAGCAGTGCGAGCTTTACAAGATAACACTCAAAAATGCCAGCAGAGTCAAATGGAAGTTCTGGCTCATCCAGGGTGATGAGAGCCCATTGTTCATAATGCATTCCCTTCATGACGGATATGAAAAACGGAACTTTTGCGAACGTTAGCAGAGATATACCACTTTGGACACCAAGCAATCATGAGATTAATTAGATGCCGTAAAGCTTCTTCAATGTTTGCGATTGCTATACAATTCGTAAGTTTCAATGTCATCTGCGTACATAAAAACAGAATTTCCGCGTGAGTTTTCGGTATTCCAGTTTAGATTAGCAATATAAATGCTAGACCGGAAGGGTGATAGAGCTCCTTTCCGAGAAAACCCACTTGTACAATAAAAACGCTCAGAGTTCTTTCTCGATATGAACGTTCATATGTCGTGACAAAATGGTAATCAATATGTTTCATCTCAAGGGTGAAACATACATACCTTAAAATCACAAATGTCTCTAAGGTAAAATGTACCTTGAGTGCGTGCACTCGCTCAAGGTAGAGATTTGAGGTGGATTCGACCTTAGTACGGGGCAAGGTTAAATTTACACTGAATTTGTATACCATGAGCTAGTGCAAATGCGTTCACGTTCGTTAACACCGGCTAATTGCTTTTGATGTTATTGATTTCAAGGTATGACCCTGTGAATTGAACATACCGGGTTGTGAATGCAGGTACGCGCTCTCAAGGTATATTTCAATCTCAGAAATGTTGCGGGATATGGCCACTGTACTGAGCCTGGGTTGTATGTTTAAAAGCTACTATGTAAAGCTTGCTTTGCTTTATCGAATAGATCTTATATACTTCATGCTCACTATGCTTCGATAGAGCATAGAGCTCATGATGCGAGATCATTTTCCTAACCTCATACTTCGCGACTCGCTTTTCAAATCGTGAGCGCCAGTGGCTTTACCTTTTCCAGCGCTTCATTCAAATTTTCAGATGCGAATAACATAGCACTTCCGTCATAAGCAACAGCGGAGCCATCGTGAAGAATTTGAAAGTGCTCGAAAGCATAATGAACAGCGTCTGTGCACAGCTTTCGCCGAGCAACAAGTGCGCCACTGCAATTCAACAGTGAGATTAGAGTGCTCAGCAGCAAGTGATGGAAGACATACTCATCTCGAAAGCCGCGCAAGATGTTTATAGCTCGCTCGTTTGTTGAGTATCCAAAATATATGGAAACATCGTAGCGATAGACTATCTTGTTGTTGACTTTTAGCTCCCAAAAGTTGGTCAAAAGACGAATCTGAAAACACTGATATAATCTGAAAACACTGATGAATATTGCGCAAGATCAGTACGGCAATCTAATCTGACGTAAGATATTTCAGCTTCAAACAACCTGTTCTTTTCCCTCGCGATAAGCAGGTTCTTTTTTTGCTGCGAGAACAACTTTGCTGCGCTGACATCCACCTTTAGGTAGCGATCGTGTAGCAGTTTGCGAGTACGACAGCACAATTTGTTCACTTCCTTGCTGTCCTGTTCGCTGATAGCCTTAAATTTGGAATTGTAGTGAAAGTCAATTATATCAAGTCGGTGCAATGGTTGATTCGCACCAATGAAGAAACCAAATCTTGCTCTCTTGACGGATTTGCACTTTGATTCTGCTAGACAGAGAAAAACATTTTTATGAAACAGTGCTTTTGCTGTTCTCTGACAAGTGTGAGCTGAGAGAGAAGCAAAATAAATTCATTTCAGCTTCGACCATTTTGAGTGAGGTTGCCAAAATCTGGAACCTGTGATAAGACTCAGAGCAAACAGTGATATGAGTCTTATGATTCACCCTTTCCAACTGTGCAGTGTTTGTGCCAGTTATAGTTAGAACCGAATATTCGTATTCGAATGATTTATTCAAAATATGCGACTACTCGAATATTCGATGAAGTGAATATATTCGATTGTTCAAATAGTCGAATTAGTGAAAAAGACCTTTACTCGATTACTAATTCATTCGCGCAATTAAAAAATTGGGTTATTCGAATATTCCAAGATTTGAGGAAATTTTTGAAACAGCTATTTGTATAGAATAGTCGAAACATTTTGAAAAACACTTGTCCGGATATTCGAATATATTCGAGAAGGAGAAAAATATTCAAGTGTTCAAATGTTTGTTGCATGTTTCATATGCGACCTTTTTTGTTATTCGAATATATTGCATTCAAATTTTCGATTATTCGAATATTCGATGACATACACTTATTCGATTATTCGTGTAGTCGAATATTCGGTCAAGTTCAATTATACTATTTGAAAATTCGAATCTTGGAATGCGCCCATATCGAATATTCTAACTCGAATAATATGGGAATCGGAGAGAATAATGTTCGTCTGAAAATTTTCGAAAATCAATCATTCGATATTTGTTCCGATGAAGATTTCCGTTTATAATTATAGTGTTAAGTGAGCATTATATCACTGCTTGCTCTAAATTTTATTGCAAGGTTCTTCGGTGACCTAACTTGAAATGTTCGAATCTGAAGTGATTTTATCTTGTTATTCTCTCAAAAGCTCGCACTTTCGAAAGGCATCAAAAGCACTCAAAGAGAACCGTTCTCAAGATTAAGTTTGTGCCAATCGTTCGAGAGAGCAAGAAGTTGTGACCTTCAAAAGTGCGAACGAACTTTTGCACCAAGCTAATAGAAATACTTATGCTGATAAAATGACGGGCAAGCTCGAACAAAAATTGTTAGATTGAGATTCGTATGATAAAGCAGATTTTACACTGCACCCAACCTCTCAAACGTATCCGATCAATTCTCACGATTTAACCTAGAATAACCACGTCTTCCTATTACAAGAGCAAGACTCTGAGAATTCAAAAAATTGATCTTCTATAATGGTAACGGATATGTTACTTCTTCGCTTTGGAACTAAATTTCCAGTTGGTGTTTATGGATACAGTGGACCATTGCCGCAGTTAACATTTTTCTCTTGAAAAAAAAAACAATAATTGAGAGGAAAAATTACAAAGCGCCGGATTGTTGCTGCCATAACTCGAAGTTCTTTTTATGAGTCTAGAAGAAAATCCGGACAGTTACGCCCGTAATTTATGCAAAAAAACCGCGGCGGTCACCGAAGGAAGTTAAAGGCGGCGTCCGAGCAGACTTGGACATTTTCAAATACTACTATAACCGAGCACTACGGCCTCGATCTAGAACTATCGCGCAAATCCGACTTTCGAAACCCCTGCAAAAGGAGAAAATCAGAGCAAAAGCCGAGCCTCGATGACCACGCCCACTCTCTTGCACCGCCCGCCCCCTTGAATGAACTTTCCTCAGCATTTGACGTGTTTTCACAACAGCATCGTAGCAACAGAACAGATAGTGTCTACCTGTTAATGCTTGCTTTCTATAAGAATAGCATTAGAAGCACTCGCCCATGGTTCTTTCAAACTTGTCTCAAAAATGGGGTTTTTGAGAAATTCACGCATTTTGAGTGGTACATGGATTTAGCGCCATGTATTGACCTGGATAAGGCAAAAAATAGAGGTCGAGATTCTGCCTGGACGCTGCCTTTAGCGGTGGCGAGTTCGCCGAACGGCTCGCATTTCATATCTTTGTTAAGAGTGAGCGAGATTCAGATCCAAGGGCACCGACTCTGTCGTCTGTCGGAGTGCGGTATTCTACGGTAATCAGTGAGTTCACGATTTACAGATATTTGTCTTAGATTATTTGCTCATCGTGCTGTTAACAACATAGAGAGGCTTTCTAGGGATACTGAGCAATACAAAAAAGATCACCTTGCAAAATCTGTTCCTAAATGTGATCAGGATGGTTAGCTGACGCACCGACTGCAACAACAACATTCAGTCTGCTGCTGTTACTCAGCGCAGGGATATGTAAGGTGCACAAAATTTATATAAAAGAATTTGAACGGATATATTTGCCCATTTTTGCCAGTAAGTGCGGCAATTCAATGGTCCTTGCACATTGCTTTTCTTCCCAGAAATCGCCTAACTTTTTTCGCTTCTGAAGAAAGCTCCGAATTGTTCTTTGGAAAGAATAATATGTGGACACAGCTCTTGAACTACCTAGTAACTACTAACAAGTCATTCTATGTAGAATGTGCGCTGACTATATCATTAGGTAAACACTTCACAAAAAAATTGAAGTTTACCAAATTAATCAATCGCTTAAGTGCTGTGTTCTAATATCAACTACAATCTTCGGTAAAAATCAAATTATTACTCTAAAAGCGAGCCACTTGAACTTAACCCTAAGCAAAGATTCAAACATCCGTGTAAGATTTTTATTAGTTTCATAATTCCAATCCTAAGTATCTCTGCGCTGCGTCATAAACAGCAAATGAATGTAGTTAGTGCAATCAGTGAATCAACTAACCACCCTGAGCAACTAGAACAAATTTCAGAAAAGTGTCATTCAGTTTCGGCGATTTCCGATGACTGCCGAGGTTCTTTTTCACGACTTACGAGCGCTACTTTATTTCATGCGCACGAGTGAGATATTAACTAATTGCGTACTTTGAAAGAACTGCTTACGGTATAGTTGCTGAAAAAAAAAAAGAAACCGCACCATATGCAACTCATCCATCTATTTTTCCCTCGTCTGAGGAGAATGTTCCTCATAAAAAGACAGAAAATGTTGGTGGGGCAATCCTTATACAGAATCAACATTGTCAGGAATTCCAAGTGAAATTATGAACATATTAGGATCAGAAACATACCGCATTCTCTAGATGTTTTTGAGCCATGCACATTAGAAAGCGTTGCAAGCGGGATTGCCTCGCCATTACTGCCTCTCTGCTCCTGTGTTGCATCGTTTAGAAATCTTGTGCTGGGAACTACATGTAGACATTTCAAAGGTTCGACCTTCTTTGAATTTTGGCATGGTAATCCGATATTGATTTTTGCTCGCATCCTACCAGACCTTATGTAATTTTGATCTAACTCAGTAAGGTTGCGTTGGCGGGCTGCGTTGGCGGGCCCTCGGGCCTTAAATATGCGCAATATTCGCAGTGGCCAACACTTCCTCTCATACGGGTGGTCTTGGCTCCAAAACCGCTGTATTACGGTGAGCGTTTGCTTTGTCTTTCCTCACATACTGCTTTTGATCTCATTTGATCTCTTGAATTGATCGCTGTGGTCAGATGCGGCGTCTGAGGGGGTATGTCACCAAATGGTCTTTGATTTTCAGGCTCCGACGAAGGCGGAACGCCGAAACGTCAGCCATCAATAAAAAGATCATACCATCTTGGCTTAGCTACAGCAAAAATCAATATCGGATTACATTTACAGACATTTAGGATAAATTCTTCTAAAATAAATTTCAGTGCTGCAGACGTAATGGAAGTATTTTGGACTATTATGGCACACCGACAAAAAATATTGAGATTTCAGTGACGTCCAAACGCAAAGAACCACCAACTTACAATTTCCGTGCGGGGTGCGTCATAATTACGCATACTCAAATAGATCGAATATATTAGGTTGTCCCGAAAGTTTTGTCCATTTTTTCAAACCACTATAGAACCATAAATAATAAACAACTGAAAGAGTTTCAACATGCATTTGATGCAGCTTTTCCATTTCTTTCTTATGGATACACTTTCGAACCACAGTCTTGTATGCTTTTTTTCGTTGATAAGTGCCAAAATTCCCCATCCTTCAATTTTATCTGCTCAAAATTAGGCTAATTTTCAAGAATTTCATTCCGGAGTTTTGGAAAGATTTAAGTATGGATCAAATAGAGCAATTCTCGGATTACAAGGTAATGTTTTTAGATTCTCCTAATCTGCTGTTTTTAGCTTCAAAAAATTATTTCTTCTGAGGTCGCGATTTTTGGCAAATGTAGCAAATACATGAAAGTTTTTAGTGTTTTTGCGTACTGAAACATGATTCTTAATAAACATCATTTATGCGACATAAGCAGGTTTGATTTGCTTCAAAAAAGCAGCTTTCGGTACTTTTGCATGGTAGACGTAATCAAAAAGCCGCAGCTTTTACCAAACTTATAAGTATAACAATCTTAGTACGTTGCCCATGTAATCTAAAATGGGCACAATGTAGCCAAAGGTTTGCTCTACATAATGATTATCAGTGTTCTTTGGAAATATTAGGATAAAAATTTTCAAAATTCAGGGAATATTTGGCGTTACTGATGGACTGCTCAAAACGCCATTGCGATAACATTGCAAAGACAGGGTAGATCAGGGAGCAAATATAGCTACAGTGCTGGCCAGAACTATAGATCCACTATAAAAAACTGCCGTAATTTATCTGCTTCTCAACGAATTGATCTGAGATTTGGTACAGCTGTGTGTTCAACAGGCTTCCATCAGGACCGGAGAGGATCCCGCTTTCGTTAGATTATTCAGGAAAAAAACCAAAAATTTCAGATAAAGCAAGCTCGAAGGTTGGCCAAAACTATAGATCCACTCAAAATTTCTGTCTGCTAAAGTAATTCTCGGCTTCCAAAGTGTTTTGGGCATATACATAGTCGAAAGTCAAAGCAGTGCCTTTGGTTCAGCTGTGTCATACCTTCACAAACGCTTACCTGCTTTTTTTTACTTTAAAATTATGCGTAATTTATTCCCAATGTGTTTTTATAGAGGATTCCGCACTTTTTTGACTGGTTTGAAAGTGATAGGGCTCCATCTATCTTGTAGATGCTTAGCAGTGTGAGCAGTAAAAAAATTCGGGTTTTCGTATCCAAAACGCAACCGACATAGACCTAACCGTAGGCCTGCGTTCAAATTAATGCCTTTAAACTCTTTCTGCAATGTTGTCATGAGCGTGAACTGGAGTAATGACATTGTTAGTATGTATGAGAGTCCATATGCAGTGGTTCAAGATTTTCGCAGATCCTAGTATGCAGGCTAATTGAGGACTTCATCCTGCAAAAAGTGATTTGCAACAAGCCTTGAAGTTATTTCTGGTTCTGACCATAATGCTTATGTGAGTCACAAGGCAGCATACAATGCAGGGTGTATTCACTAGTTAGCAGCTAAATAGTGGCAAAATTCGAGGAAGGTAAAAGGTAGGAACCACTTGGTAAGTACTTTGAGATTGCCGAACACACCGCAAGACTTATGCTTTGAAAAAGAATTGAAATGCGACTTTGCAAACAATCGTGACTATAGTTTACAAACTTTTTTATGTGAATAATGCTAAATAATGCTTCTACATTATTTTGAGCTTACAAAAATAGCGTGCCCAATTTTGAAGGCGAAAATTCGAGCGCAGGCCTGCGGTTAGGTCTACGTCAGGTGCGCTTTGGATACCAAAACTCGAATTTTTTCTACTCTCACAATGCTAAGCATCCATAAGATAGATGGAATCCATAAAAATCCCCATAAAAACACATTCTCGGGAGCAAAATACGCATAAAAGTAATTTTTAAGTGAGAAAAGCAGATAAGCGTTTCGTATTAAGGTATGACACAGCTGAACTAAAGCCCTGCTTTGACTTTTGACTATGTATACGCGCAAGAAGGTTTGGAAGTCGAGAACTACTTAAGCAGACAGAAATTTTAGGTGGATCTATAGTTTTGGCCAACCTTCGAGCCTGCTTTTTTCGAAATTTTTGATTTTTTTCCTGAATAATCTAACGAAAGCGGGATCCGCTCCGGTCACTGATGGAAGTCTGTTGAGCACACAGCTGTACCAAATCTCAGATCAATTCGTTGAGAAGCAGATGAATTACGGCAGTTTTTTATAGTGGATCTATAGTTTTGGCCAGCACTGTATAAGAAAGAGTTCAAAAATCTGAGTCAAATGGTACCTAAGCCGTCCACGGATTATTGTTCTGTGAGTTTTAGTGAGCGATGAAATAAAACGGACAAAACTTTCGGGACAACCTAATATATCAAATCTTGATTCGATCCAAGATACGGTAATGAGTTTTTTAAAATGATTAAAAAAACATCTTCTATCACACCCCACCCTGAAGGTCAGTCTGATCGGAAGGAAGCTATAGGCGTTTCCCATGCGTATAGCGGGCGTGGCCGTACAGACATTTGAACATGTTAAAAAACTTGTAGAACCTCCACTCTAGAGCATTAATTTTATACTCTCTAGCTGCCAAGAACTGCCACACGAATACGTTGGCAAACGTTGGCAAAGCAACGCCCGCTATACTGTGGGGAAAGGACGGTACCTCTACGTATATCTTAAAAGTCCACATCGCAGCTCACTTCTATGCCATAGTCACACTATACACGATAGTTGGAACCGAATATTCGTATTCGAATTTATTCGGAATATTCGATATCCGGATATTCGAATAGTCGAATATTCGAGAAAGTAAAATTATTCGATTAAATAGACGTATAAATGAAATGGTCTTTATTCGAATAATTTGTTCATTCGACGACTCGAAAAAATAATATTCGAGATTTAAAAACGTTGTTCGAACATTCAAATTTTGAAGTGTGCCCATAATCGAATATTCACATTCGAATAATATGAAAATTGGAAAGAATAATAATTGTCCATTCGAATAATTTTTAAAAATCAAGATCACTAATTATCCAATATTCGTTCATTCGATGAAAATTTCCCGTTACAACTATACTATAAACTAATTTGCAGGGGTGCAGCCTTGTATATACGTGGTCAAGTAGGTAGCGATGCATTTCCCTGAGATAGCACAAAAATATCGCATAAAAAACGTAATGCTAACCATGATTCCAACATCATTCATGTTCACGTGATTCGAGAACAAGGCTCCGGCTGAAAAACAATCACTCGCGTTAGTTCCGGCAATAACGTGCTTCCTGCAACATCCGATCTTATTTTGTCACTCGCTTTTCAAATACGCAGTTTGAGGCATATCAATACGTACTTAGTTTTGTTGCTTTTACTCTCTCGACCTGAGGAAAAAAATAGGGAAGAGGATGAACTATAAGAGCTGTCCTCAGACTCCGACATGGTTTCCATGGGAGAATCAAGAGACGCATTTGCAGTTCCATCAAAAGAGCTTCGCAGACTTGGCGAGAACGAGCTCTCTTCTGAGCTGCTGCTAGAACACCGGATTAAGCATCTTCGGTCGCTATAATAAGATTCTTTTGCGTCCGAAGAAGAAGTTTTGAAGCCGTCACATTGAACTTCATAGCTCTGCTTATTATGGAAAAGCTCTTGTCTGTGGTTTTCTCCGCTCCTGCAGAACTGATATAATGTATCGACCTCATACATTAGAAAGAAAAGATTTGTGTACCAATGCCGTGATTCCCATTCTTCACTGCTCGAAGGTATGTGCGTAGAGACAGATCCGGAAGTGTCAGGAAGCGATCCATTGCTCTCTTTCCTACAAATAAAGCTAACGATTTGGACTAAATGATATTATCTGCTAGCCATTTACTTTTGTAAAGAAGCCAAGAGCCTATCTCCTTGAGAATACGGCGCCAGTCAGAGATGGTTGCGTGGGGAACGGGAGCGGAACTTATATACCCGAAAGAGTAGCTGCCTCGTAATTAGCAGACAGGGCTGGTACAGCTGGCACCGGGTGTCAAGCTGGATATCGTTTTTGGAGCGGAAAGCAAAGGAGATATCGTTTTTGCAGGTTCGATGCCGCTGTTTGCTAGAATGCCAGGAGCACACCGGCGCTACGCGGCCGACAAGCCGCCGGCACGCTTATTTTTTACACATTTGTTCATTAGCATGCCGCCAGTATGCCACCCGCATGCCAACAGCATGTCGTCGGTATGCCGCCGGCATGCCGGTGCGCTGCCCCAAACTCCGAACTATGGCCCAAAAATTTATGAAAACTTATGTGAATGACTGTGTAAACTTTTTTTCTCAATTGACTGGCACCGTGTCAGCTGAGCTAGCACCAACCCTTTCCTCACATAAGTCTTCATACTTTTCTACATAAATTTTATCTACACTGTAAAAGTTTCCTTATAAAGAAAAAATGGTTTCACAATGTTTTTTTTCGACACTTTATAGCCATCTGAAAACTTCTCGGTCAGCTCGTAGTCGAAAAACACAAAGCGGCCTTAAGCAAAGGTCAAAGCGGCTTCATACGTAATTTTCAAGATCAAAGGAGACTTCGTTTCAAAATTTCCATAGTGCCAGCTCGTGCCAAGCTTAGCAGAAGTGATGAGTAGGCAACGCATAGACTGTCAGCAACGCTCATTTGTAACCAATTTGCAGCAAAGACGATTCTGACCCGATTCTGTAACTACACTCTCATCCTGCAAAAACAACAGATTTTGTGCTATTAGTAGTAAGAAGCATATGATAAAACTAGATAGGAGAACAATATGTTCAATGCTTTTTGTATGTTTCCTACACTATCCGGTTTCGAGGTGTACAAGTATATCGGTTGTGCAACTTCCCTGGTGCCCCTCGCCAGTAGTTCCTAAAAAAGCGCGTTTGAGTAGTCCGCGCGGTCAACTAATCGACGATGATAAATGTCTTTGAAAACCGACTCGTCAGACTTTTATCAAACACAAAATTGGCAAAATCCGAAATCAAAAATGAAGTCTAAGCTACAAAAGGTAACATATGAAGAGATTGAGCGGAACAGTGCAAATTACGCGAGCATATACGTAGACAGCAGAATAAATGGCGAGCCTCTTTTTTCCCAACTCAGACAGTCGATGGGATACCTCCAAGCGGTCCAAATATGGGACACCTCCGGAGGGCGCTCTTGTCCACTGAGGGGGCAAGGCGAGGGGTGGTCCACTCGTGATGACGTCACAGGGAGCCAAAAACGAGTTGAAGAACTCGGAAATCTGTGCTCCGGAGGTGCCCTAAATTTGGGAGACCCCGGAGAGCTGGCGCGCAGCCAAAAATCTGCCCAGGAGCACTCGCTCACACCCTAATTAGCGGTAGCGTCTTCTTGCTGATGTTTATTGGCTTTGGCTATGGTTCTTTCCTACAGCACTCGTTGGTTATGCCTCTATCATCCTCATCCTTTGTAGTCTGACCCTGTTGGATCAATCACTCCTTGTCGGCGCAACTAGCAGCGCTTGCCGCTCCTAGATGCGATAGAGCACTCACTATTTCCTAGCGATTTGAAGATCGCCTCAAAGGCAGTAAAACGGGAAAATTTCAACTGCGCGCTTTCAATTCCTTGGCCTTCTGAATGCGTTTAGACCAAAGCTGTGCTTGAAAAGTCAAAAAGTGCTTTTTATGGCGTTCCCCGGCCTTGGAGATAGCTAGGAGGCTGGAGTGGAGATTCCCGCAGCCGAGTCGCGATTGACTGTCCGAGCCCGCCAAAATGAGTGGTGTTACAGTCTGCTGCAGCCAGTTACTGTTTTTTGGCGGGACTCCGCTCCAGCTTTCTCACTTCCTTTCTTCTTCACTTGTCAGCAGTCTCCAAGACCGAAAAACGCCATAAAAACACTTTGACTTTCTAAGCATAGTTCTGGTCTAAACGCATCCCGAAGGCCAAGGAGGAAAGCGCGCAGCTGAAATCTTAACAACTGGTAAGGTATGAAGACCCCAAGTCTGCACCCCCCCCCCCCACCCTCCAGCAATGTCCGCCCATCCAATGACGGCTTTGTGGAACTGTCCTGCGTGTCCTCCGGAACGGGGATTGTCGGAGTTTTCGAAAATACTCAACATCTTCGAAATTAGGGACATGGTAAGGCCCCGGAATGACCAAAACATGGAAGTCGAGAATCTGAGAAACAGTGCTTTGGCAAACTGAGAACAGATGAAACTTACCGGCTATTATCAGATGATACGCCGTAGCCGTTTCCGGAGCATTCGAGTTCAAAGTCAAAAGCTGGGCCACACTCATCCCTAAGACAGAAATTAGAGCTACTTACCCTTAAATCTATTGAAATATCTTACCAAGGATTTTGACACTTCATTCGCGCTGACGGAAAATTGAAGGATGGCCTAGTTGCTGAAACGGCTCTTTTTGGTCTGCTTTGTTAGATTATACCGCTTTCTCATGCTTTCAGATTTCGATTTTTGAGTTATCGTTGGGGAAAGAACAATGTGTCGATAGCAGGCCCTCCAAAATTGCGATATATCACCCAAGCATTTTCAAACGTTGTAACAACTGAAATACAGTTTTTCAAAGCTGTCGACCAAGGTTGGTAGCAAGACTTTTTTGAACGATAAGCCAACGTCTTGACGGTCCGTCCCTTCTTCAGGGCTTCCTCAGCCCTGCCAGATCGGGATGTAGAGATCGAACGACCAGTACTGCGCTGCAGCCGCGCTAGAATGAGTAATAGTGATAATAGTGATAGTAATAGTGATACTCACTCTAGCGCGGCTGCAGCGCAGTACTGTTCGTTCAGTCTCTACATCCCGATCTGGCAAGCTGAGGAAGCCCTGAAGAAGGCGGACGGACCGCCAAAACGTTGGCTTTTTGTTCAATAAAGTCTTGCTACCAACCTTGGTCTACAGCTTTGAAAAACTGTATTTCAATTTGACTCACAATGCCGAGGTTTGTCGACATTCGAGCACGAAGTCTTGTAAAAAGCTGTAACAATTGTTTGCGCAAAAAGCCTGGCACAATTTACTTCTTCTGCATTCCTACCTTACAGTAATCCTGGTTAAAATTAACGAGTGCGCAAGTCAAACATTCGCAGTCTTCCGCCTACAAAAAGTGGCGCCTTTGGTGGTCATTCATCACTATCACACACAAAATAGCGTAGCCAAAAATGTTTGGATCAATCATTTAATTCTCCTCTATGTCTATTTTCATCACCTGAAAGCAAAATCTTTATTTGCAGAAGTCAGTCCTTGAGTTGGTGTCGGTCTTGACAGTAGTTTCTAAACCTAAGCATCAAATATTTTCAAGTGTTCTGAACCACACAGGTCTTTGAATCACCTATCATAATAAGATCATGGCCTAACGTTAGACACCAATGCCTTCTCAGAGACCTAAAAGTGGTTCAAAACGTCATCCGCGACCCAAACTATCGAGCACTCTCCCTCGTCCTGCTAGTTCTCAAACTTTCCTCAGCTTTCCTAACATGAAAATCGTCAGGACAGAGATGAGCGTGCGGAACGACCACCGCTATAGGCCTCGGGCCGAGTTCACGCGATTTGATCGTCGCATTGATCGCGACAAGACAACTGTAGCAACATCATTGCATGCCGATCTTCTCTCTTCTCGACCATTTCGGTTGTGATAGTTTTTCAACACGGCTAATGGCGACTAACTATCACAACCGAAGTACAAGAAGATTGGCATGCAATGAACTCGTAACACTTGTCTTGTAGCGATTGAATAACGACGATCAAATCGCACAAACTTTGTCCGAGGCCGTATATGGTATTCTGCACCGAATGATGGTCGTCGGAAGACTGAAACCACGCTACGATAACGCCCGGCCAAAGCTGTTTGTTTGTCCGTTAGTGTGAAATATGTCAGTCAGTAAATTTACAAAGCATAGTGCAGCCACGCTGACGAGCCAAATTCTTGCATTATGCGTTTAGCCCAAACGGAGATCAAAAAGTCTAATGAGGAAAACAGCGCCAAAAAGGAATGATTGCGCAGGCTGATGAAGGTTCTTATATCCGTATACCTGCGCATAATGAATGCCACGTTACTGCCATACAAGATTGCTTTTTGCCATTTTGTGTGATCCCCAGCAGATCACGGGATCATCTCTCATTTTCAAAGTCATTTATCTTGAGAGATCCTGAGAATCTTTATCCTGAGAAGTCAATGAAAATGAAACTGTATTGAGGATAAATTACGGCACTGCTGAACATGTTTGTAGCAGAAATAAGTAATATCTCAGGATATCGAAATTTTCGATGAACCACTGCTGGCGAGCTAGGGATTATCGAAAAATTCACAATCTTCAGAATCCATTTCTCCTGTCGAAAACATGCTTAGCAGAGCCGTAGTATATCTTCACTACAATTTTGCAGCGTTTTCATTGACTTCTCAGGAAGATAAATGACTTTGAAAACCTTGAGGTAATCCCCAGAGGTACACACGAAGTGGCAAAAAACCAATCTTATATGGCAGTAACCTGGCATCCATTATGCGTAGGTATCATAACTTATAATAACGGGCTAAGGATGTTTACGTGTTTGTGTGTGTGTGTAAGTCTGTCTGTCACGAAATTCGTAGAACGTCTTCCAGCCAACCTCCCGAGCCCAAATTTTGCACAGCGCACTGCTACCAAAATGAGAGCCCATTATACAAATGTACGAGCGGATCCCTTGAATGGATCCCTCAAATAATGCTCGTCAATCGGACCCACTTGGCTTTTAGTCAGTAAAGTTGAGCCTATAGCACAACTTTTTGCGAAGTCACTGATATGTTTGCCAAGTTGATGTGCAGGGCATGGACTTTAGCCTAAATAAGTGAACTGAAGTTTATCACTTTGCGCAAACAGCGCCAAAGGGATTGTTTGCGAAAATGTTCAATTTGCCAAGTTTTTACCCGATCATTTGAGAAGAATTTCGCACCATACGTGTGCAAAAGGGGAACATACATCTCCAAGGTGAAGGGGGTCATAGCGGTCCCGTCTCTCGAGGATGAAGGAGGTATGAGGGCCGACGGGGGGGGGGGGGGAGCGCTGCCGCTGTCAAGGTGCGTCAACCGAGGGGAGGGGGGGGGCAATGTTCGTCATCATTGCTTCTCATGTTCTTTTCATTTAGATGCAAGCAATTGTAGCCAATCCGGGTTAAAGTTGAATACTGGGTTTATCCGCTGAAAGTCGGAGAAGAAAAACTGGGAGAAGTGAGACTAAGAAATCCACTTAAAGCAAAATTATGAAACTATTGCATTACTAAGATCAAATTCAATGACATGTTGATTCTCAATATTATTATGTGATTATCAAAAACTTATTGACAGGTTTACTGAGAAGTACGTTGGAAATTTGCCGCCTATTGTTCACTTCTAGAGAATGACGAAAAAGCTTGCAGAAAAATTTACGTGTGAAGCGTTCATGTATATATGTAAATGAAATTACTCACGTATTTGTTGAAATAAGTGAAACGATAGATGAACTTTGATGATCGTTGCGCAGTTGAATTTCATTCTTTTGAAGAGGATTAATTTTTCTAAGCAGATGGCGGAATCGTGAAAAGTCATTGATTGATTCCTTAAAGAGTCATTGTTCCAATTTTTGATATTATTTCTAAACTCTGACAGAGATTCTAACGTTTGCTAGAGAAGAAGGTGCAACCAAGGGCACGTATTACATCGAAAGCTTAGTGTAATCAGGGTTAGTGTTACTGTCAAACTGCTATAGCTAGGAGGATCGTAGAGTTCTACTCCGCCTGCTTGGACGATGATATGGATGAGGAAGGACAGCCAGAAGTGCATTGTTCACGTTGGAGCACTATACAAGAAGAGGAGGAGAACCGTATATGATTACTGGCGCTTGATTATTCTGAAAAAATTTGGTTTTCATCAAAGAAGATTGAGAAACTTAAAAGATCTTAAGAGGAAAACTCAGTCATAATTAGTCTAATCTAATGTAGAAGTTTAGCTCCCATCTGCATTTCGAAAACACACAGCTAGCCAGGAAAAAGAGGGATTTTTCCTGCTAGGTAGAGATAGTTTTAGCCATTTTTTCAAAATTGACTAATTTTTCTATAAAAAATTGTAACTTTTCCATATGAGAAGATAGGAGAGTCTCTAGCTAAAAGTACATGGTAAAAGGGGGGAGAACATGGTATAATGGAAATGTTCCTTTCTGTACTCAAAAGCGTCGTTTCAAGGAGCTAAAGGAACATGCCCATTATACCATGTTCCCTCCCCTTTCACCACGTACTTTTAGCATCCTTCTCCCCATAACCTATAAACTTTCTGAAAGCGGACGACGAGAGGAATTCAACGAACACCTAAACACTCTTCCACCTTCTCAAATTTTATAATTTTTTAAGTTGAAAATTGGCTTAATTCCGGAAAAACGGCTACGACCCCTTTCACTCGGTAGGTAGGAAAATCCCTTTTTTTCGTGGCAGCCTACAGATTTTCAGAAAGCGGACGACGAGAGGATTCCAGTGGAGTGCAAAAAACTCTTCTAGCTTTACTTATAGTAAAGTTATGAATTTTTATAAAAATATTTTCCTTAATTTTAGAAAAACAACTACGACCACCTTCACCCTATAGGAAAATATTTTCCTTCCTGGCAAGCTATATGTTTTCCGAAAGCTTTCAACAAGAGTAATTCAATGTATAGCTAGAGACTCTCCTATCTTCTCATATGGAAAAGTTACAATTTTTTATAGAAAAATTAGTCAATTTTGAAAGAATGATTAAAACTATCTCTACATAGCAGGAAAAATCCCTCTTTTTCCTGGCAAGCTGTGTGTTTTCGAAATGAAGATGGGAACTAAACTTCTACATTAGACTAGACTAATTATGACTGAGTTTTTCTCCTAAGATCTTTTGAGTTTCTCAATCTTCTTCGATGAAAACCAAATTTCTTCAGGATAATCAAGCGCCAGTAATCATATACGTTTGTCCTCCTCTACTTGTATAGTGCTCCAACGTGAACAATGCACTTCTGGCTGTCCTTCCTCATCCATATCATCGTCCAAGCAGGCGGAGTAGAACTCTACGATCCTCGTAGCTATAGCAGTTTGAACAGTAACACTGACCCTGATTACACTAAGCTTTCGATGTAATACGTGCCCTTGGTTGCACCTTCTTTTCTACGCAAACGTTAACATCTCTGTCAGAGTTCAGAAATAATATCAAAAGTTGGAACAATGACTCTTTGAGGAATCAATCAATGACTTTTCACGATTCCGCCATCTGCTTAGAAAAATCATTCCTCTTCAAAAGAATAAAACTCAGCTGCGCAACGATAATCAAAGTTCGTCTATCGTTTTACTTATTTTAGCAAATACGTGAGTAACTTCATTTACATATATACACAAAGGCTTCAGACGTGTTTTCTTCAGGCTTTTCCGTCATTCTCTAGAAGTGAACAAAAGGCGACAAATTTCCGACGTACTTCTCAGTGAGCCTGCAAATGAGTTTTGCATAATAATAATACTTAGAATCAACATGTCACTAAATTTGATTTCAATACTGCCGATAGTTCTATAATTTGGTCAAAATGTTAATTTCTTGGTCTCACATCTTCCAGTTCCTCATCGGCTGTGGGTGAAGGGGGGGGGGTCAGCTAGGTTCCGGCACAGGGGTGAAGGGGGTAGAAACACATGATCCCCTTTTCACATGTATGTTTCGCACAGACATGTAGCCCACGGTAGTTACTGTATCTTTTAGTGAATACCAAGCCATGAGAAGTCTAAAAGCCAATTCAAATTTCTATTTGTTCTTCTGGGAAAAGTTTCATTCACGCGAAATTAGCGATCTCATATGGAAATCTTTTAGAATGAATAGTTGTTTACAAATGATAGTCCGCATAGTGCGGTGAGTTTCAATGTCATTAATGTGCGGAAATGATTGAGGCATACAGATATTAGGACCAGTGCGAGCCTCTGCGAAGCAGAGTTGACGCACTGATAGGATAATCATAACTTATAATAACAGGCTAAGGATGTTGCGATCACAAAGAATCCCATGAACCTATCTCGGCATTCATTACACCCTAGAGATGAGGTGCTTTTCTTCACCTTCCTCACTTTTACTACTTCACCATTTTCAAAAACCTTCCCACTCTTGATTGCGCTTTCTTGATTACACCTTTGATACAACCCGGAAGGGACATTTTTGAGGTGGAATCAAAAGTATTCGGTCGGTCTGAAAGTTCGCACTGTTTTTCAGACCCATACTCAAACCACTTACAAGGAAAGGATACTCGGTGACCGTAGCCATTTGAAATGCGATGTATACCGTAAGATGCATCTTAAAACGCTGATTCTAAATCTGTGCTCGATATCTGCGAAACGATCTTCTGAAGAAAGTTATGAACTTTTTTCGTTAAAAATTTGCGTATTATTGGTTAGTTGAAATTACCAAATTTGCCGTAGGTTGCCGTTTGCAGCTACTGAAGAGAATCTCAAAAGGAATCTGATGTATTATACCTATATAAATCATATTCAGCATTTGAAAAAGAAAGAAAATTTTCTTATTGGTCATTTTGACCCTCCGCAGTAGAGCAACTTACTCATGCAAAAATAATCATAATTCCATCCAGGTTATCGTTTCGCAGATATGGAAGACATGATTCGAACCAGCATTAAAAGTCCATTTTTTGGTATACAAATCATTACGGATGGCCACGGTGAGCAAGTATCCTTTCCTTGTTAGAATGAAGATGAACAAACGCTGTAAGCACCATCGGATGCAGACTTTCTTCATCTTTCTAATGGTTACGTTTTGTTCAGATTCCCTGGATGTAGGCTCATTGATCGGCAAGGATCTCCAACCCATGTTTTCACCCATCTTGTGTTTGGCTCTTTTTTAGATTTTCCATTTTTAACTTTTGGACTAGCTTGATAAGAATTGGATAGAATAAACAAAATGCAACACAACACATTTTTTAAAACCTTTAGCTGGCTTCTCAAAATTTTTGAAAATGTTTTTCTGATGCTATTAAATTCCATATTTGAGCATCTCAATCCTCACAGAACAACAAACGACTAGCAATCAGGGTATCATTTGATCCAGCTTTTTCTTCTCTAATTGATAGACTTCTTTTCTTCCTAATTTGTACGATATCTGAAGATAAAACCATTGTAATTATTGTTTCCAGACTCGTCCCAGGCTGTAACAGAAAACTTGGAATCCAAAATTTCGAACTGCTCAACGCTCACATACTTGTTAAAATTAGCGCTAATTGATAAGCTGTTTTCGGAGGATTTCGCGACTTCGCAAAAGTAAGGAATTTTGAGAAAATTGTTTTAAGAAAGACTGAAAAGTTAGTTGATGAAGTCAAAATAGTTCATTCTATCGCATTTCATTTGTTCTATCCAACGTTATCAAAGTCAGCCCAAAAGTCAGAAATGGACATTTCAAAAAACAGCCAAACTCAAGATGGGTGAAAATCATGCGTTGGAGATCTCTGCCGATTATTGAGCGGACATCAAAGAAGTCTAAACAAAAGTACCGTTGGAAAGAGGGAGAAATTCTATATTGGATAGCGCTTACAGCGCTTTTCCATCTTCATTCTAAGTGGTTTGAGCATGGATCTGAAAAATAGCGCGAACTTTCGGACCGACCTAATATTATACGCGTCTGATTTACCACTTGACTTTGGTCCTAACAAATAAACGTGCTACTCATTCGAGACTTCTAGAGGCGTTCAGTTTGATGATCGATTTCTACTCTTCGTCACTCATTCCTTCTCATAACCCTGACCTCAGATATGGAGTCAAAATTTGCGAAAAGTACAAAAATATTTTACGGTATGTTGTCTTCAAATACGCGGAAGATTGTGGCGCTTGTCTTGTCGTTAGCAACGTGAAATCTCGCAGCATGCAACATGGTAATTGGCACAATAGCGTCTCCACTGTGTTTGCCACGTCAAAACACGTCAAGGAGTAGCTGGATGGGCGGACAGGTACGCCCACCGATGGTGCCAAGACCAGGAGAGACGGTCAAAAGGCGCGATTTTTCTGGCTGTCACCAACTTAAAACTCCAGTTTCGGGCTGTGGGAGGGTTTAGAAAGTGCCGGAGAAATTCCCTCTTACTAACTGTTTGAAATAACCAGCTGATAAGTTTGACGACTTCTGCTAGAAAATGACCGGATTATTTACAAAATTGCTATTAACTGCATTTTCAGGGGTTTCTGACCTTCAACAATTTTGTCTGGGATCGATTTCAGGATGATAAAATTAGCAACCCGTGCGATTATCAAAAATATTTCGTCTGAGATTTCAAATGTTTCCAGAACTTTGTAAAACACTAAAGATGTGCTATAGGCTGCCCATCTGGCAATAAGAATCGCGCCTCTTGACATACACCCCATGACCAGAGCCCTGCTGGGGATGCCTGGATGACCTGAGTTTAGCGAATAGCCACAAAGCTCTATCGAGGATGAACCTCGCTAGGGGCGGAGGGCTATATGTCGCCGAATTTGGAAGAGTCCTGCGCGGATTCCCTGCAGGAACGCATGTCCGCGCATGTAGAAGGACGCGTATTTGTCGCAAATGACCGCGGGGACCGCCCTTTTTCGGCGACATATAGTCCTCTACCCCCTCGCTAGTATTTCTCACCCGGATACCATGTATACGAATAAGAATTCCAAAATTTCTTACCGACTTTCTAACAAATTATAGCATCTACAAACCAGTTTCTCTCGTTTTCATATCGGAATTTGAGGGTTTTGTAGGCAAAATCCGCCTTCGCCCATTCTTTGTGTCATTCGATACTTGGCGAGTCTCGCTATCTAAAAGTTCTCCAAGATAATCCCGCGTCTCCCAGAAACAATTGATACAAAAAACCAAACCACAATTACTCGGCGACGGCGAGATTGAAAAGCTGTAATTTGCAACGACCACCTCAGATGTGCTTGTGCACCTAGAAATTTTATTTTGTTATAGGCAAATACTGTGGCATCAATTCACCTTGCTTTGCTTTTCATACTGATCACGTCACTCTCGTGCAACCTGCCAGCGTAGTAATCTTCACGATGATGACTGTTCGCAGTAAGCAGAATGGAGCCAATGTTACGAACTACTTTGGGTATTTTGCTCGCTAAGCCTTACCTGAAGCATCATCAAAACTACATATAATTTCCTAACTTCCGAATCAAAACATCACTCGAAGACTACCAATATGAAGCCTGTCAATTAATGCGAGACGCTACTCCACTCAACAGAACACAAAAAAACGCAGAATTCGCAAACTTAGGGCCGCACGCACTAACATCCCTGCTGCGGAGGGGATCAAAGCTATAAAATGCTTCATATTCCAAAGTCTAGATCTGTGGATTTCATGCCGTCTACCTATCCGTAAGTATTCCTATTATCCTTCACTATGAACGTAATTAAACGTGAACAAGAAGCTGTACAAACCGCATTTCCCAGCTTTTGTATGATCCCCTGATGATCCCCCGCGGCCGAACGTCTTTTCTTCAAAGTCATTTTTCTTCCTTCGAAGTTAAAGGCAGCGTCCAGGCAGATCTGGACCTATGGGGCCCTTTTACTTGGAAAGTACTTTTGGGGCCCTAACTAAGGCACTGCCAAAGCGGCAGCTCAGATAGTGCTGTAATGGCTGAGATATTCCCCTCGAAACTGAACCCCGCGACCGTGTTTCGCATGGATTCATGGCGAAAAGGATCCTGGCGCGAGACTGCCATGAATCCATGCGAATACATTCGCGGGGGCCAGTTTCGAGGGGATTATTTCAGCCATTAGAGCACTGCCTGAGCTGCCGCTTGGGCAGTGCCTTAGTTAGGGCCCCAAAAGTACTTTCCACGTAAAAGCCCCATAGGTCCAGATCTGCCTGGACGCTGCCTTTAAGGAAAAGCCGGCGCAATTTCACTCAATAAAACGCAAAAATTGAAAACCACGAATATCGCTGAAAATTCGTTCAGGGATTACTTACTCGACCTGTTGGTTACGAAATTGATATCCATTTCGCGTGATGGAGTTTTTTGAAAGGTTACAGTAGGCATACGGTATGAGGGCAAAATCTCAGAATTCACTAAAAATTTGCGTAGGAGGGGGGGGGGGGGTATTGACATGCTGATTACGAATATCACACTTTTTCCGCACGAAAACCTCTCCCTGCATGGTTACGATAGGTGTACGGTAGAGGTAAAAATCCAGATTTGGCTGGAATTTGGTGTGGAGGTTAGCACGCTGAACATGATCATATTGACTTTGTATGGTAGCGCCATTTTCTCGGGTTACGGCAGGTACACAGTAGATGGACGAAAATTTCAAACTTGCTTAAAATGTTGCCTAGGGGGTATTCAAGCATGCTGATAAGAAATATCAGGCTTGCTCGCTACAATAACGCTTTGTTGCGAGATTGTGGCAATTTGTAGCGCTTAGGTGAGCATCCTCCGCTCTTCAGACTAATTAAGATCCCAAAAATCCACGAGAAGGCTTTATAAGGGAACGGTCATAGGTTGTCGGTGTTGTCGGTGTTCGCGGTATTGTCAGTGTTGTCGGTGTTGTCGGTGTTGTTGGGGTTGCCGAGGTTGTCGGTCGTTGTAGGACCTCATGATAGCGTCCACGTTTCGCGCGCTCTCTAAACTGCCTCTGACCCCGACAACACCGACAACCTATGGCCGTTCCCTAAGCGAAATGAGCGCGGTATTTGTGATGAGCACATCACACCTGACACAGTTTCAGGCAAATTTACGGTTTTGACCCCTTATCATATACCTACCGTAACCGTACAAGGAGAGATTTCGTGCGGGAAAACTGTTAGTGCGGTAGTGGCACTTGCGTTCAGCATGTCGAATAACTCGTAAAGTTTTCAGCCAATTCTGAGACCCTCACCCCATACCGTATGCCTACCGTAAACCTTCAAAAAAGGCCATCCACGCGAAATGAGTATCACTTTCGTAACCAGCAGGTCGAATAACCAACCCCCTTGGCGAATTTTCAACGAAATCCGTGAATTTCAACTTTGCGTTGTATTAAGTGGAATAATACCGAAAAACTTTCCAAGGTTGTACTGATTATCTAACCTAACAGTGCTAAGCATAGTGCTGATAAGAACAAATGAGTTTCTGGAACATTGATTTCTTCTAACCCCCAACTTTCGACTTGTGATTCATCGCAAATTCCACTACTACGAAACATCCCTTGGGGATCATCAGGGCATCATACGAAAGGCTGGAAAATGCGGCTTGTACAACTTCTTGCTCCCGTTCGATATGTTCATCGTAAAGGATGGGGTAGGACTACTTAGGATATAGGTAGATAGCGAGAAATCCAAATATCTAGAACTTCAGGATATGAAGCTTTCTTCTAAGCTGCGACACCCGGCGGGGATGTTAATGCATGCGGCCCCCTAGTAAGAGGGGGAGTTATCCGACCTGCTGAATCTCAATATCAAACCCTTTGAAAAGCAGCATAAGAAGTAGGATGGAAAGACGGGAGAACATCAAGTGGATTTAGTTATCTTGAACGAATATCACGCCTTGCCTATTGAAGTCGGCTGCACGAAATCGTTCAAATCGCTGTAGGCTGAACAGCAGTCAACTTTAACCTGTGTGAGGGTCTAACGAAAATTAGTCGTGGTATCTGCATGGCCTATGTGCTGCCTTTCACGAACTTTATTCACTGAGACTTGAATAAGTTTTAATCCAAAGCACATAACCTCTTCCATGTAATCGCCTGAAAAAGGTATGACTTATAATAAAGCGCTAAGTGTCTTTCACTGCCACCTCTGCGAAGTAGAGGTGACACACTGGTAAACATATAACTGAAGTCAGCAATTGAAGACAAATGTGATAACATACAGCTTGTTTGGAATGACTTGGTCAACTTCTGATTATTCCTACACTTGCTGTGCGTATTAATAATGCGCCCCAAAAACCAGAGCCTCTCACCTGTACGGCACAGACATGCTCTGTACACCTAGAAATATGTGTAGTGATCCCAGGCCAACTTGGGTAGGATGTATTCTGAGCAGTTATGCAGAAGCCAAGGCCAGACTGGGAGTAACTGACAATTGAAGAAACTGGTCAGCAATACTCGCAATGCATAATTTTGCGTATTTCAATCTTCACACCATCTCACTACGCATGAAATTTGACGCAAAACCTGTACAAGTGAATATATAAAAGTCTTCGTAAGAACCAGAAAGACCACCCAAAGTGACCTACAAAGTGATTTCTATACAAGAACTAATTACTCTAGAACATGTTATTGCAAATAAACAATGCTACCTTAAGAGGAACAACGACCAAAAGATCAATGGAAGATAGTTAACGAAAAAGTGTCAGTGTCTCCAATCGCAAGTGTACTTCGCTGTAATAGCATGGCGTCACTTCCTCTAGAAATTCTGCAAGTCCTTTTCGGTGGAAGACTTCGGAAACGCCATGACTTCGGAAATGCGGGTATTCCACATGGGTTACGATTTACGATTTCCAAGTGACACCCAAAAGTAATGCCAGCTCTCAGATCGCGGGGCACTCCATTCCTACCGGGCGGGCTGCGCGGGAGGTTCGTGCGGCTGCCGAGTGGCTTAGGCTGGGTTCATACTGATTTCCATGTTCCGGAACTGTTCCCGACAATTCCCGCACTGTGCTGGAACTGTTCCGGAACTGTGCTGCATGCGCTGCAGCCGCCCCGCAAGCGTTTTGAACGGCGGGAGTTGAAGAATTTTGACCGTTTTGAACGGTTCTTCTTCCAAATTTCTCTCATTTTGGCCTTATTCCTCTATCCCGCTCCCCATTTTGATCAGCAGAACCTCAGACTTGAAGCGGGGTTGAGGACTGAACGCTGTTCTGCTTCATGAGTCCGGGAAGATGGGCCTTCGTGGCTCGTCTGTTCTCTCCTCGCTGTTTTTGTTCAAACCTTAATGTGTTCTAGGAAGGCGCTGCGTAGTCTCGCATCTGTATAAAGGAACATAGACAGGTCTCTAAACACAAGAAGTAGGTCTGAACAAAATTAACGAAGAGAAAATATAGGAGCATGAAGGCCCATCTTCCCGAATACATGGAGCAGAATAGCGTTCAATCCTCAACCCGTTTCAATTTTACAGCTTTTCTCATCACAAGGAGAAGGGGGTAGAAGAAAGAGCGAAGAAGCAATGATATGGAAAAAGGAAAGGAGCTGAGAATGCCCAAAAACGAAACTCATCAGAAAACAAGGGAAGTCTCAATTTATGCAATTTCAGAATTGCCCGCACTCCCTGCGGGCAATTCGTGGAAGATGTATGGAAACTACGCAGAGGCTTCCTGGAACAAATATAGGTCTGACTTTAATGAAGTTGTTAAATTTAGGGATACTACGGAATCTGTACGATTGGTCTAAAGACAGGCTTATCCGCAAAAGTTTTGCAGCGCGAGCCTGTTCCTCGTTTGCGCTTATCTTGTTTGTTAGAATACTGAAGTAAAAGTCAGATTCATAAAGCAAAGGTAATCATTCAGAAGATGACCAAGAGAAAATGAAAGTTAAGGAAAAGTAACTTCTGGCATCCTACAATGTAATGGAGATGGCGCGAAATGCAATCACAACTTGATGTGCTCGAAAAACATTACACTAGCGATTCTAGAATCAAGCAAAGATCGGTGGAGAATGGTGAAAAGAAATGAGATAGAAATGGAGATCTTCCAGCATTTGCTGTTGGATTCGTCAAGAAATGCATATATAAAGCTCAAAGTCTTTTCTTCGGTACATACCCTCGACATCAACCCCGTTCCCCCCCCCCCCCCAACATGACGTGGATTATGTGGTGGTTTGGTGAGACGCCACCTCGCTTCAGGCTTGCGCCACGTTGTGCGTGTGTGACAACAAGAACAATGTCGGAAAGCTTGCGCCACTATGTTTTAGCGCCACGTCACGCCAAACAATGCACCCGCGACCTGGCGCAATCCCAAAGCGAGCGGCGCCTCACCAAACCACTTGAAGGCAGTATCCCGGCAGAATTTGCATTTCCACCTTTTTGCATGTTTTGGGCCTTTTCCACCCGTAGACCCCGAATTTAAGCTTTACGGTTGAAAAGACCTTTTTCGGGGCATTTACTCAGTTTTCAAAAGGCAGCCTGGACAAGAATTTCAGTGGAAAGTTGGGAGGCCCCGT